AATCAATTTCTCTCGAATTTCCGCCGTTTTCAATGACAACTCGGCGCGCTAACGTCCCGATGCCCGATCGACACTTTGTTGCTTCACAACAATTATAAACAATGTGAAACTAGCGCTGGGCCTAGAAGAACGGAAGTAGAAAGCTACGGCGGACATGCGCAGGCCGCGTTTTCATCTCTCTCCCGGTTCGGTGTTTTCCACGGGGGGAAAAATTATGAAATTTGCGACCAAGAGCGGTCAGCCGGAGGAAGGAGGAAAGTTGCGGGAAAAGCAAGATGAAGCGGAGTTTCCGCTATTTAGCGGGAAAGTGGCAGCTATGGTACTTACACAACCTAACAGAGCCTAAGAGTACTTACAGAGCCTAACAGTACTTACACAACCTAACAGAGCCTAAGAGTACTTACACAACCTAACAGAACCAAAGAGTACTTACACAACTTAACAGAACCTAAGAGTACTTACAGAGCCTAACAGTACTTACACAACCTAACAGAACCTAAGAGTACTTACAGAGCCTAAGAGTACTTACAGAGCCTAACAGAACCAAAGAGTACTTACAGAGCCTAACAGAACCAAAGAGTACTTACAGAGCCTAACAGTACTTACACAACCTAACAGAGCCTAACAGTACTTACACAACCTAACAGAACCTAAGAGTACTTACAGAGCCTAACAGTACTTACACAACCTAACAGAACCTAACAGTACTTACAGAGCCTAACAGTACTTACAGAGCCTAACAGAACCAAAGAGTACTTACAGAGCCTAACAGAACCAAAGAGTACTTACAGAGCCTAACAGAACCTAAGAGTACTTACAGAGCCTAACAGTACTTACACAACCTAACAGAACCAAAGAGTACTTACAGAGCCTAACAGTACTTACAGAGCCTAACAGAACCAAAGAGTACTTACAGAGCCTAACAGTACTTACACAACCTAACAGAACCTAAGAGTACTTACAGAGCCTGACACAACCTAACAGTACTTACAGAGCCTGACACAACCTAACAGTACTTACACAACGTAAGAGTACTTACAGAGCCTGACACAATGAGGTTGGACTGGGGGTTGAAGTTGCAGCAGAAGACGTAGTTGCTGTGACCTTTCAGGGTTTTCAGACATTTCCCCTGGTGGCAAGGAGAGAAATACACACAAGTAGGGTTGTTGTTTTTTTCTAGTAGAGGTTTTACGGCGCTCGCAACTGCATAAGGTCATATGAGCGCCAAGGGGTGGGTGTCAACAGAGAAGTCTTTACAGGGAATCAGACTTACTCTGCTCACTTCTCTAGCTTCAACAGCACAAAGTCTGCTTCGACTATCAAAGCACCCCGGAAATAGCAGTTCACAAGAGAGTGACAAACATACAAAAGAAGTAGAGGAAAAAAAGGACGATAGCAAGGATGAGAAAGGAAAAAGCAGCAGTTCCCAGTTGCAATTCGCACACAGTTATGAGCATGACACTGAAATGATAGATTTTTTATAGAAAAGAAGGAGCAAACCATACCAGAGCCCCCGCCAACCACCCACAATAAACAGCAGCAGCACATGACCGTTTCCTTCAACTTCAATACAAAGACCCAAGATGAAAAACATTCAACTATGTATAAGTATGTACTCACATATGTATAAGTATGTACTCACATATGTATAAGTATGTACTCATGTATGTACTCATGTATGTATAGGTATGTACTCATGTATGTATAGGCATGTCCTCATGTATGTATAAGCATGTCCTCATGTATGTATAAGCATGTCCTCATGTATGTATAAGCATGTCCTCATGTATGTATAAGCATGTCCTCATGTATGTATAAGCATGTCCTCATGTATGTATAAGCATGTCCTCATGTATGTATAAGTATGTCCTCATGCATACACCAACAAAACTACCTGTATCACTGAACAATTTTTTTCTTTTTTAAACACAATTTTCAATGTACCGTTTTCAGATCTGGCACATTCTTACCGTGGCAAAGTCCCAGATTTTCAGAGTTTTATCGTCCGACGCACTGACCAACAGCTTGCTGTCTGTCGACCAAGCAACATCGCTCAACCCCTGAAACATACAGCAAACAACAGTCACACACAATGCAATATTTCCATGTTTAGTTTTAGGAAGTGTTTCCTTAGTTTTAGTAAGTGTTTCCTTAGTTTTAGTAAGTGTTTCCTTAGTTTTAGTAAGTGTTTCATGGCACTTGCAACACAATAAGGTCATATAAGTACAGAAGATTAAAGGTGTTACAAGAGAGTAACAAACACAAAAAAGGAGGAGAGATCAGGACGACAGATGTTTGAATAGGAAGGAAGGAACAAACCACATCAGAGTACCCACAAACCGCCAGAGATAGTAATTATTTCACTGGCAGACAAACACGAACATATACTCACCAGTTTATGTCCTGAGATTGTTTTTTCAAATTTTCCATCATAAGCACCCCAGATTTTGATGAGTTTATCTGCAGCTGAAATGATAGAAAAAGAAAATGAATGATTTCTAGAAAAAGGTTTGTATATATATCCCAATCAGCATGATCCCCTTCAACATAAAACCCAAAAGTCTAGGGGGGGGGGGGCGGTGTAATACATGAAGACAGATATGCATGATATACTTGAGGCCACACATGCAATAGTTTGCACAAATATTGAATTACGCTGTTTGAGCACGCATATGAGTGCATTCATTGTACATGTCGAGAGGATGTATAGATCCAGTATGTTAACTTACGTGACCAAATTAAAGTGTCAACAAATGGCGACCTCAGTGCTTTCTAGAAATATCTCCATTTTTAATAACAGTGAAAACATTTCAAAACAAAAAGTGAGCTTAGATTTTTTTTTAAAAGAAATCACATTTTCAATGGTTTAAAAAATGGAGATACGACAAGAAAACACTGAGGTCGCGAAATTGTAACATGTTATTTCATCCCTTTTTCCCACACCGCAAATTTGACCAGGTACTTACAGGAACTGGCGAGCCAGTCTCCATTGGGGCTGAACTTGACAGACGACAAGGCTTTGGTATGACCAGCCAATGTGAACTTCAGGGAGTAGTTGGGTTTCTAAATCAGCAAACGAAATGGAAAAAAAGAGAAATTCATATTAGGACCCACTTTCTCTCGTCCACTTGTGTGTGTATTGAGTTGCCACCATAATGAGATATTACAGAAGTGGTACCTAGCCTAAAGTAAAATACAATCACAGTTATTGACAACACTGGATGGAGAGAGGGGGTGAGAGAGGGAGAGGGAGAGAGGAGGGGGGGCTAGAGGGAGGGAGAGAGAGAGAGAGA